ATTATCTCCTGCATTTATCGCACTGTTTTATCGATATACTATCATCAGCTTGCTCGCTATAACGCTCATTATTTCAGTTCAGTCGTGTGTGTAATGTTATCGAATGCTCCCGTGGTAAAACAACGAATAGCAAAGCGTAAGCGCTCATAAGCCATCGGCTTGCTGAACAACCATGCGAACAGCCTATGTGTCAGTTGCTGGCACCTGTTGGCGTCTGGTATGCTTGAAGCAGTATGTATATCTAAAACGACAGATCTTGCACAAGACACTATTGCATTGGTAAAACTGGAGATTTAGTCATGTCTGGGCACGTTCCTCGGAAGAGGGGGCCATCACTGGCACGTGGGCGCGTTCCGCCCCATGATGAGGTCACGCAAACATTATATCCCCAACGCTCGTCTCACCACCAAGCTCCACATCTTGTCTACAATTGTACCAACTCGTGGCGGCTATGAATGGGATCGCATTCCCCGTTCAGGTCGCCCTTTGTTCCGCAGGCTCGTGAATGTCGTATCGACACTCGCTGTTTCGAAACAGTACTCACTCTGGACCAACGCACGGTCGAAGAACATGAGAAGCAAGGACGACCGACTGGAACTGACGGAAAACAAGCTTGGATCGTCGTGTGCACAATCGTCGTCAGACTCCCGCTCTAGCACTCTACTTGGTATGTGGTAGATGTCTCTCGTGCTCTCTGCAGTCGCTCATGGCCTCCGCAGCACCATCCCCATCGTGTCTCAAACCTCGTGGACCAATCTATCGTTCGCAGCCGAGCCGCTTGGTGGATACCAATCATCTTTACCATCGACCACGGATCGAACATTACCGCCGTCACGGAGTCCGGTGCCAATTCCGTGGCCTCAACCCGCAAGCCTTCACATGAGCCTTCCCCCAATCCGCCTCGTTCTCAGAACACGGATCAGCCCTCCCGAGATCCTGCGGAGCTTGACATCATCCACACACTGCTCGCCAATCCTGCGCTTGCCGATCCAATACGGGTGCCGCGATACCCCATAGTTCTGTGTCATGGACTGTACGGATTCGACTCACGCGGGCCGAGCTCTTTCCCAGCATGCAAATACACTACTGGTCGAACGTTCTCAACATCCTGCGCCGTAAGGTTGGAGCTGAGGTCATCGTCACGGCCGTCCCTGGGTGTGTACTTGTCCCTCAAGTCTCGTGAATTCGATCATGCTCATGTTCCACAAGTACCGGCTCGATCGAGTCCCGAGCTGAAGCTCTAGATCAGCAACTACAGAGGAAAGCTCGGGGTCGGGGTGTGAACTTTCTCGCCCATTCCATGGGTGGTTTGGACTGCAGACATCTCATTTCGCACATCAAGCCGACAGAATACATCCCTCTGTCGCTCACCAGTGTCAGCACGCCGCATCGGGGAAGCCCTTCATGGATTGGTGCTCGGTACGTGCAGTGACCTGTTTGTCCCCCGAGCGTCTTCTCATTACGGGTCACAAGGACAATATAGGGCTCGGCAAACTTAAGCGCGAAGAGCTGGTATCTCGGCCGTAGGGGAAGGCAATGGGTCTCTCTTGCACAGCTTCCCTCCTCTTTGTCTCGCTTTCCTCAACGTCGTTGACTCGCCTGCCTACGCCAATCTCACTACTTCATTCTTGAACGATGTGTTCAACCCTCAGACACCTGACGACACCGCGCGTCAAGTACTTCAGTGTGGCTGCGCGATCGTCCGGCGCCAGTATTTGGCATCCCCTATGGTTGCCCAAGCTGGTCCTCGATGGATCTGAAGACAAAGAACGCGAGCGGATGCGCGCAGCTGGATTAGGCAGAGAACAGCGCAAAGAGGGGGTAATGACGGACTGGTGACAATCGACAGCGCACGATGGGGCGAATTTCTTGGAACCATGGAGTGTGATCGTGCGTCTCAGATCTGCTTGTATCATGCCTTCTGCTGACTCTCTCCAGACTGGGAAATCCGTGGCGCGCGAGGATTAGAACTGAATGTCGAGATCCCTGCCTTCGAAGGGCTCGGTTTATCGATTGGGGCCGGTTTGCGAGTGCTTGGAAGAAGGAGGAGAAAGCCCAAGCGGCTGCTGCGACGCCTGAAGAAGTCAAGGACAGGGCGGATAATGCTCTGATCAGGAAATCGACCGAGACTCTATCAAGCGTGGTGGACTGGCTTGTGACCAAGTTCCTGTTCCGCTGGCGTCGAAGGGCAAGACCATGGACGAGTCTGAGGACCGAGTTGCTGCCGACGTCGCAAAGCTGCACGGAGAAGTGAAGACTGGGAAAGAGAAGAAGGAGCGCAAGGCGGAACTGGTAACTAAGACTGATCTTGAGAGATTTACATTGCGTTATCTAGGAAGATGTACGATGAGGGACTGTGAAGAGGTATCTCGTTATTACTGTATTATAGCCAATGTAAAGATAATGTTGTCTTATACTTACGCATTATTATTCTTGAGGTCAAGTCTCATCTACTGACTTGAAAAAGATCAAGTTTTGCACTTAACGGATCTGTCCCGTGATTGCGATCTACTCTTGCTTGTTTCCTCATACGAACATGTCCACCTCCGTCAAAGTTGAATTCAGCGGCGGACTTGAGCTCTTGTTCTCGAACCAGCGCTCGCACAGCCTGATCGTGCCTTCCCATGTTTCCAAGACATACGGCGAAGAATCTGGAGAGACCAAACCCGTCGACATCTCTTCTTGATCTTCCATCTGCGAGACACCCTCCTTAAAGAACGCGTAGAGCTCTTCGTTGAGAATGACACAGTGCGTATGCTCTCGCCCTGACTCCTTGAAAACCCGAAAACGAGATCCGGAACAGACGGCCAGGAATTCTGGTATTGGTGAACGATACAGATTGGGAGTTAGAGGGAGAGGGCGATTATGCGCTCAAAGATGGCGATGAGATCGTTTTCATCTCGACGTTACATGGAGGTTGATGAGGAACTTGGACGACTACTCAAAACATGTCTTTTTTGGAGAGCCCTCAGACTGGCTGTGGGGTCTGCCTACGCTACATTTGGATCTATAGAGCCCTGCTCTTTGTTATCGCCAGCTACGTCTGTCTACCCACTTCAAATATACGTGGATCCAAGGGCGTTGACGTTGCCTCCTCCGTCCAAAAGGCCTCAAGAATCGTCAGGATGTTGTCTACGAGACGGGACGTCAACTACACTCACTTGTTTGGAGTCCGCTTATGGGACGCTGCACCAATTTTTTCAGCTTACTCTCACAGGACAGAAACAGCACGCACCCCGAATGCGAACCAGTTGTACCGCTCGATCCAAGGTTGGGCATCCAAATATGTAAGGGCGGCCGCCAAGAAGACGGACATCTTAAGAAAGAGCTGCTCAGATAGGCGATCGGATTGAACCGAGGACGAATCTACCTGCGGGATTGCCGGAGGTACACGCGAATTCGGTGACCCAGACCGCCTTATTCGGGATCTGGGCATGGACGCTCGCCAGATAATTGATGAAGTTCGTCGCTCCTTCGCCGTACCTGCCGAGACGAGATTAACACGGGGAATCAAAGAATGTAGACGGGCGTACCAGTGGACGACAACGAAGTCTATGCTGCATCCGGAACATGAAGCGACGAAGTTGACGAGCCACGGAAGGCCACTGGGTCCACTCGACACGGCGGGACTTCCAAGACGAACACCCGAGTTTTTCAACGGCTGAATGTATGCTTTCCACATCTGGACTGCTTCTGGCACACCGATGTTGGACTGGCCGTATTCGTTGGGTTCATTGAAGCCCTAACGTTGATGTCAACCGTGAGGCGACTGACCACAAGCATGCGCTTACAAGTACCGTCGACGCACCCAACTGCCGGACGGTTTGAATAAAAATGCCGCTGTCTTGGTGACCCCAGAGCATAGGGACGAATTCGAGAAATCGAGGATATCCTGCCGGTGGGCTCGCTGCCCAATTGTAGAACCAGCTGCATCGGCCACCGCTCCCTTTCGGAAGATCGGCATCGCTGGACTGGACGAGTGCGATTCCGCGCTTCGGGTTACTTGCCTGGATGCAGAGAACAAAGCATGAGAGGGCAAGCACCAACTTTGAAGGACCCATCGCGGCTGGAGAATCCTTATCTGTAGACGCCTTTTATGGGCTGCTGTATGGCCCTGGGTTCCGAGCATGGCGGTCATTGAAGCCAACAGCCAAGGTAGCCGCACAAGAGAGCAGCATTCTAGCCTCGTTGCTAGGCGTACGTATTCGCGCGGAGGAGGCAGAATCGGACGAGACTACGTCGCAGACGGAATGTTTGAAAACTTAGTCACATCCGTCTGGGCCGTCTTACAAGCAATCGCATAGTCCCGATAAGACAAGATGAACGTATATCGACCATGGAAGCACAATTTCAAAAAGTCCGTGACAACAGCTAGCATGTTACATACAGAGGGGATTGGACTGGACGTGAGTAAGACTGACGCACCAGAGCAGACTATTCCAGCCCAAGAGCCCACGCACTCCCCTGCCTGTGCTCAAGCTCCCGGATTTCTGCTCTTAGCCTCTGTCTTTCCTGTTGCTCATTTCCCCCAGTCCCGTACCCCTGGGTCCGCTCCAGAGCCGTCTGCGCGCTGCGAAGCTCAGACGCAAGCCAGGCCTGACGCTCGGTAGGACTCGACCCTGGCCCAGGCTCTTGTCGGCCGCTGCCTGACAGCGGCGGGTGCGGGAAGGATGTATGCCACGAATCCGATGGGGCCATCCTGGGATTTGATGCCGATGACAGAGGATATGCGCCAAGCTCTAGGGCACCAGGTCCGCCAGGCAGACGCGCTGGCGTTCGCATAGGGTTTGGGTCGGAGAATGCAGCTGGTGCATCGAGAGAAGATTTGCTCGTGGAGGTCCGGCCGGTGCGAGCGGCGGGTGCGCCAACCGTGAATGGGAGGATGGGAGTGGGCGCGGGCTGACGTGCGCGGGCGCGGCGAACGAAAAGCCAGCGAATGAGGAAGAGGCCGATGATAGCTCCGATGATAGCAATGGCGACGCCGACGATGAGACCCACAGGTGCCTTGTGTTGCCTGTGACGATCACGAAATGAGATGCATTCATGCTTTAGTCGTCGATAATAGAGAAGAATACCTTTGGCTCTCCAACGTCGGGGTAATCGAAGGGCGGTGGGAGTGGCTCGCCGTTATAACGTTCGAGACAGAGACACCCTGCGTCTGGGTTGGCGCAATCGTTACTGCGCGAGCGAGTGCCATTTGGGGTCGATCGCGTATATGCCACAAGGTTCGGAAGGTCAAGGAGGGTAAGAGAGCGGATGAAGACCGATTGAAGCCGTCCTTAGACCGTGAAGGGCAGTCGTGAGGGGTGAGAGAGTAGCTTGGGTGTACAATGTGTCAGCCTGCACCCCTCTCCACTTAGTTTCCCCTTGGGGCCAGTCTTGGACCCTTGGCTTCTTCCGACATGATTGACAGGCTGATCGTCATGCGGAATGATCCGTGTTCTTCTCTCAGAATGCTTGAGTGTGAGTTGTTTCATAATATCCGTTTTGAGTTTTGTTTTTTCAGGAAGAACAGCAAGCACTGTCGATAAAAACCAAGTGCGGAGAGAAGATACTGAATTGCTCGTTTCGTGAGTTCGTGCAGATGAATGGCGATCATGTGATCGCGTCACGCCTCCTCCATGACGTCAATCCTCTTTCAGAGATTCTTTGCCAACCACGGTTTCCGCAGGCTTCATTCATTCATGGCCTCTCCAGATATAGCCAGGACCGATTCCAGCTTGTGCAGTTTTCTCATCAAAGCTAAAGCCCAGTATCTCCAAGCACAGTCTAACACTCATGAATGGACGATTGTGATGGGCAATGAAGCTGGAGGTACTTTGCTCGTTTCGATCTAGTCCCCCAACCCCCTTCCCTTCTTGACAGATCTGGACTCTATTGCCAGTGCGATAGCCTTTGCATGGATAGAGTCTGCAAAGAGCTCATGCATCCCTCTCATCCAGATGGCACGCGAAGATCTCATCCTGCGGCCCGAAAACATGCATGCACTCGCGTTAGCGGGGATCCAAAATCCCGCGGAGGAGCTTCTTACTCTTTCCGATATCTCTCCCTCCTCATTCCCTCCGTCGATCAAGTTCGCGCTTGTCGACCATAACCGGCTTGGAGCCGCATTCCCCTCTCAGGCCCCGGTTGTCGCCGTCATTGACCACCACGACGACGAGGGCCTTTACACGGAGACTGCACATCCGCGGAAGGTAGCACCGGCTGGGAGCTGTGCCTCGCATGTGGCACAGATGCTGCTGCTGCCGGCGGCGGGGGATGATGCGATGCTGCCAGTGCGGGATGTTTCGACGCTCTTGCTTTCTGCCATCCTCATCGACACGAATTGCCTCAAACCCGGAGGCAAAGCCCTGGACGTCGACCGTGAGGCGGTTCGCAACCTCATCCCACGCTCTGCAATGGACTCGCCATCGCTGCTTACAGACGAGTTACCCGCTGCGGTGAGGCGATTATCGGACGAGCTTGCGTCAAAGAAACTGGACGTCTCCCATCTCAGTACTTGGGACCTGCTTCGACGAGATTACAAGGAGTACACCTTCAGCCTAAACTGGATCCAGCCCGTTCCTTCCTCTATTCACGCCGGGCTGGCGTCTGTGTCCGTAGGGCTGAAGGACCTGGCCGACCTGGAGAATGCAGCGGACAAATGGATGGCAACGCGGAATCTCACGGTATTCGGAGTGCTCACGTCGTTCCGGGATGCCGAAAAGCTCGGGAAAACGAGCGGGAAACCGAAGCATCGGAGAGAGATGGCGTGGTTTATCCGGTCTAGCGATAAAGCTCCGGCCGACGAACTAGCCTCCAGACTGCAGAAAGGTCTGGAGCAAAGCGAGGAGATACGCGCGCGGAGGCATGAGCAGGTGGCGCTGGAGGGTAAGCCCTCGGGAATGCGAGCCATGGCTTACGAACAAGGCAATGCACAAGCCACACGTAAAGCCTCAGCGCCGCTGCTTAGAAGTATCATGGAAAGCAAGCAGTGATTTCTTCCGTCGTACAATGATATCGTATGTACCTAAATCCCATCGTCGCTGGATCGATCACGCGTCATGATTCGCACACGAGGACATGCTGCGCGAGTCGGGCCGAAGCCAGTCTGGCCAGGAGTCGTCCTTTTCGTCGACAAGAGAGGAGATGGAGAGATGGATGCTGCGCGGCTTCGTCCGCAGCGATCCGATGGAGCTCGTCCGTCGCCGGTGCCGCTGGCTGGGTGTTTTCTTGCCTGTGAACGCAGGGAGGGATTGCCAGCTCCACGGGTCCTCCTGGATGGACCCGAACGACGTTTCAGAGCTCCCCGTAGACTCGTCGCTGCCCCTTGACGTGAAAGACATGGCTGGGAGGGAGGGAAGTGAATGGTGCCCGTGGAGGCGCCGGACGACCGCTACGCACCAACAGAAGTGTTCAGGATCTGCTGCTCTAGACTCCTGCCCTGGTAAAACCGTCTGTAGCCCCCGAACATCACGCGTGGAAAGGGCTCGAAGAGATTGCAGTCGGGGGCGGGGGGCTCCACGACTGCCGCCACCCGATGCTCCCGACGCTCCGATGCGTCCAAAGAGAGCCGCCCTTGGTCGTCGTCGCCACTGCCGCCGCCCCCAACTCGCCACTTGAAGCAGAGGAAAGGCATCGGAAGAGACGTGGAGGAGTTAAGAAGCTAACGCATAGTTGATACTTGTAGTCCGGTGTTCCCGAGGCTCGTGAGTTGCAGTAGGTTCAGGTCACAAGATTCGGTTTCGCCGACTTTGGTGGCACGAGACGCGCCTGATTGATGGAAGGGAAGGAACTGATGATTTTGGGAACATTGCGGGCGAACAGGGAAGGCGGGCCCGAAGAGCACCCTGGGGGAGGATGACAGCTCCTGCTAAGCTGCGATAGCGTATGAGAGAAGCACTGGTCCACGCGCACGCAGCTGGGCTCGGAGCGATGAATGGAGGTCGTCGGCGCCTGTGGTCGCTTGGTGATGTGCTTGCGCAGGGTCACTTCCACAGTTGGGAGTACACAAGGTCGATAAAGGCCTGGTGCCTCGTGATGCAGCGATATTGCCGCCATGCGAGGTCGCGACCATGCAAAGTTGCTCTAAGTTGCCTGATGCCGGCATGCCAAGGGAGCCCGCCTGAATGGATGTTTTTCGAATCCTGACGACAGAAGACCCTAGGATTAAGCGGTGATCCTTGTGATCCGTGTATGGGTCTTCTCCGTCAGTTCCCACGACTCCCGACCGGACGGGGTTTCGGAAGGTAGGCCATGACATAGGGAGTCTCAGGAGAAGTCAGCGAGCTCCCTCGTCACGTTGCCAACATGCAGTCTATTCCCCTAAGGGTGATCTCAGTGAAGAGTGTAGAGCCGCTGGAGTTATCCCTTTACTTCCGCCAACCCCACACACCCTGTCCGCGGTACCTTACCCAGCCGACTGGTCTGCATCGTCTTGACGATCTTCGGCAAGGCGCTCTTTTTTCTGACGGTCGGCTCTGTGCTAAAATGATGCTTCTCTGCCTTCTTATCATAGGGCCATCAATTGCGTGCCTCCTGGACGCGGTTTAGGGGTAATAAGACCGAGCTATAAAGTTCACCATATTGGAAATCGGCGGTGGTGCGCGAGAAAACATGTCCGATTCCCCGGCTGAGCTCCAGCGGCAGGCGTATTTCCTTCTTGGTCCCTGGGTGTGTGCTCTTCTCCGTTGAGCGCTGCGACACTCGAATTCGAACTCATCTCTCCAGGTCATTGGCTGTTGTCTCGACATTTTTCTAGAGGGCGTCGTTATTTGCCAGGTGCGTCGTGTGCCTTTCTTCTATCTACTCTTGTGCAGCCCTCTGATTGACTGGGTTTGGTTTTCCAGATCGTCAATTATTTCGGATGGTACAAAGAAGACAGCTTATATCTTAAAGCCTACGTTGCTCTTCTTGCCCTGTTTTCTGTCTTGAAGAGCGTCCAAGCCTTGTGCGTTATCATTTTCACGGCGCGAGGCGTTGCTCAGTGCTCTTCCCGCAGCGCCATCATCTGGATCCAGAACATTGTGTTCATGAATAATGTTCCCGGTGCTGTGCTGCTGAACTACACGTTCTGGCTGCAAGCAGGCAATCCGCTCATCGTCCGTACGCTCCCATTAGATGTGTTTCCGGAACTGACATCCAGACAGGTTGCTACATTCAACGTGTATGTGCAGGCCTACTTCTGCTATCGGCTGTATGTCGTGTCCAAGAAGTGGTTTGTGGTGGTGCCCGTCGCAACTCTCTTCGCCTTTGCATACTTCTCGATGATCCTGGCCACCTACTACATCACCCAGGGTGTGGGGGCGTCCAAGCAGATCGCTGATTGGTGTAAGTCTTTCTCGTGCTACGCATTGCTCTTTTTTGACCGACCGTCTTCCAGTCGCGGCGCATCTCAGCTCGGTGTTCGGTGAGGATCTTCACAGCCTCATCCAGTTTTGTCTCTGAGACATTCACAGCTGCCGATGTCTCTATGTCCCTGACGACGGCCTACTTCCTGCTCAAAACGAAGAAGAACGTGCTTCCGCAGACCGTCGGTCTCATCTCAGCGCTCGTTCGACTCACTCTCCAAACCGCTGCTCCGGTCGCGCTCTGGTATGCCACATGCACGAGCAATATTTGATATAAACCATTCTAATTTGGCCCCTCCAGCGCTATGTTCAATCTCATCTTCTCCCAAGTCTACACCGGCTCACAGAGTCTCGCGAGCACAGCGTTCAACATGATGCTCCCGAAGCTGTACGCGTTGTCGACGATGTGGACTTTGAACGCCCGTCGCACCATCCAAGCCTCGCGCAGCACGAGGGGCGTGTCATCCAGCAACGAGATCTCCGGTGGGCGGACGAGAAGGACAAGGCGGGAGGATGTCGAGCTCGGCAACTTTGGTGGAATCCAGGTGCACACGGTCCAGGAGACCGTCCAGCACATCGACGTACGTCTTGTCCGCCCGCTGTTGCTCTGACGGTACCCAGCTCACAGCTTCAGCAGGTCAGGGATATGTTCTCTGGCGACACCAAATCCGGCGGTGTCACGAGCAGCACCCCCGGGACCGAAAACGAGATGGAGTATAAGGGCTAGATGTATTCTCTCGAACAGTGGTTGTTATTATATGATATTTGTCACTCTTTTCGATGTCGTTCTTTTCTGTGTATCAATACCCTGTGCTTCTTTTGGGGGTCCTTGCCAAGTCTTTTGTATCCACCTCACATCGGTCTTCTGTGTCAAACATCGATTTTGAAACGTGCTCTCCAGGTACTGCAATATTTCAGATATTTCAAAATCCATGCCCTGTACCTGCACACGTTTCGTCGCTTGGGCTTCGTTCTATCCTATTGGTCGACCTTGGTTGCTTCTCGTAACTGATGTTTCTCGGTGGGTCTTTCCTCTGCCGATCAGAGGCGTCCAAATCCAAGTATGTACCGGATTTCTGATGCTCCACGCGATCAGTTTCAGCTGTTCGTTTTACGATCATCGGGCTCGAAGATCATCGAGTCGAGACTGTACGATTATCACGTGATCGCGTTTTTCGATCTTTCGGGATCATCAAATCTGATACAGTTCCATCTAGCTATCAACGGCTCACCGGGTGCTGACGCTGTATTGATGATGCGCCCCGGCTTCGACTTCAACTCAGGCACTTAAGCTTTGCGAGTGCAAGATGCCATCTCCTCAGGCGCCGTCTCCCATGGCCGCTCCGACGATCATAAGCCGATCCCCCACGACCTCCATTTTCGGTTTCAAGAAGCGCGCGGGGACAGCGCCCAGGACAGCAGCGTCGTACCTCTCTGCGCTTTCCGAAGCCGATGCGCGCAGGCAGCGGCAGCACCAGCGCAGCTCCTCCTCCTCAGCCGTCAGCGTCAGCGGTAGCTCTGTGTCCATGTTTGCCGCATCGTCCCAGGCCACCACGCTCGACTCGTTAGAGGGGGACGACGACGTCACGGTGACAAACAACGGCCTGGAGACACCGCTGCGGCCGCCCACCTCGGAGCAGGTGTTCACCACGGTGCACAGTGAATTTGGGCATTGCGACAACGAGGACTTCCGCTTCGTCTCCGAACACGTCCCCGGGTCGCCGCTGTCGCACGACCCCTTAGAGCCTCCGTACTACGTCGTGTTTTCGACGTACATCAGGTGCGTTTCGGTTTTCATTCGCCGCCAGTTCCGTAGCTCAAGCCAGCACGTAGTTACCTGATCCTGATTTGCTTAGGCCACATTCGCGACTTCTTCGGAAAACGTCTTAAAAACCGGTCTTACAGCCATCTCAAGCCCAGCGATGTGCGCTATGTTAATCATCATCATTGGAGAGCGCACTCACAGTATCTAGGGATACGCACCCCTGAACTCGGACTTTGACTCGTTCTACACCCGGCGTCTGAAACTGCGCATGGATGAATGCTTCGGCCAGCCCATCACCGGAGTGGCCGGACGGACCGCACTTCTGTTGGACCGGTACTCCACCGACTACAACGAGACCCAGTTTTTCACGGGCACGCGCACGCGGGCGCTCAACATCTCGTCATACAACTATCTCGGTTTCGCACAGGCCCAGGGCGGGTGCGCTGACGCGGTGGAGGAGAGCATCAAGCGGTACGGGGTCTCGAGTGCCGGGGCACGACTCGAGGGCGGCTCGACCGACCTGCACGTCCTGGCCGAGGCGCTCGTGGCGCGTTTCGTCGGACACGAGGACGCGCTGATCTCGTCGATGGGCTTCGCGACCAACTCCGCGATCATCCCCGCCGTCGTGGGCAAGGGTTGTCTCGTGATCTCGGACGAACTGAACCACGCGAGCATCCGCTTCGGGGTGCGGCTGAGCGGCGCCAGTGTGCGTATGTTCAAGCACAACAATATGGCGGAGCTCGAGAACCTGCTGCGGGAAGCCATCAGCCAGGGCCAGCCCAAGACACACCGGCCGTGGAAGAAGATCCTGCTCATCGTCGAGGGCCTGTATAGCATGGAGGGCACTTTCGTCAACCTTCCTGTTGTGATGGAACTGAAGAAAAAGTACAAGGTACTTGAGTTAGTGCCTGGTTTTTATTTCTGTTTTACTCATTTTGCGTCAGTTCTACCTCTGGATCGACGAGGCGCATTCCGTCGGCGCTGTCGGACCGCACGGCCGAGGCGTGTGCGACTTTTTCAACATCGATCCACGGTCGGTAGACATCCTCATGGGGACGTTCACCAAGTCGTTTGGAGCGGCCGGCGGTTATGTCGCTGGCAACAAGATGCTGATCGACCGACTTCGCCTCCGCCACCACCTGGGTCCCTATGCCGAGTCGATGACACCGCCCGTCCTGATGCAGATTGTAGCCAGCATGAGCAGCATCATGGGCGTCGTCGACGGCGAGAGCGAGCAGACGACGATGCACCCTGGGCCGGTGTCCCGCGCGCTCGTTCCTTCGTGGCTGTCGCTGGATCCATCACTCGCTTCGGGCATTGAGGGCAAAGACCGGCTGCGCCGTCTCACCTTCAACTCGCGGTACCTGCACGAGGGGCTCAACAAGCTCGGGTTCATCACGTACGGGCACGGAATGTCGCCGGTGATCCCGCTGCTGCTGTACCAGCCCGGCAAGATGATACTCTTCCACCGCATGATGAAAGAGTACAAGACGCCGATCATCACCGTCGTCGTCACATATCCGGCATGCGACCTGATGACCGCCCGCGTGCGTTTCTGTGTCAGCGCGGCACACACGAAGGAAGATATCGACACCATTCTGCGCGCTTGTAACGAGATCGGAGACGTCCTGGACCTGAAGCACGGCTTGCCGCCTAGCGAGCGATGGGATCTGGACACAGTCTGCGCTCGGGCAGTTGAACTGGCTCGTGCTGAGTAGTGGTCATCACGACATCTTTCCGGATAGTATATACTGTAGACGCTGGGGGTGATATAATGTTGCGCAGCTGCGCGTGAAAGATGAAGATGCCAAATCGCAAGTTACCCTGTTTCAAGGCCCATAGCCCGACCGAGGGTAATCTGCTCGCAGGTGGTTGACCTCTCAACGAAGTACATGATCTATGAGCTCACCGGTCATCCCTCATTCGGTCTTTGCTATTATATCTCTTCTCGCTTCACTGTTTCTTCATTCTTCCAGATTGTAGACAGATTGGTGGTACATCTACCTCGGCCAGTGCAAGAGCACAACCCAGCTTCAGAACAGTCTCATCTTCCCTTCCCAGATACATCTGGAAACCTGGTAAACGTTTGCTATATCTCTGCAGTGCCTATCTCTCAAGTTCGCGTTGTCACCTTGAAATGGTTACCCGCTTCTTGAAGATCGAGGGAAACCCCGTTTCATCTGTAGGGTGTGAAAATAAGGTAGAGGTGACAGATATCCTGTGATGAGACCATGCACGACAGATGTGGGCTGATATCAAGTTGTGAAGCAGTGTGGACATCGTAGGTATCTGCAAAGACTGGAAGGAATGGAGGGCGACAAAGGTTCTAGTGAATTTGCAAAAAAACTCGCTCGACAAAGTACATCAAATACGTACAAGGCCTGTCTGCGAGTGCTCATGCTTTTAGGATTGGGAGACAACAGGATGGACATGAGGATCCGAGATCCACTTCCAGAGTGTTCACTCTGCAAAGATTAACCGAAAAACAGGACATCGACGGATTCGATGTTCAGTGTCGCTTGATTTCTCTGTTCGCTCATCTTTCAGTGGATCGATTGACCGAGCCGAAAAGGGTCCCTACCTTCATGGCAATGATATGCGAGTCGGAAAGACTCATCCCTTCAAAACCAGAAGATAACCGTTCGCTGAATTGGACGGAACAGGGTAGTCGCGAGGCCACGGGTTCCGTCCAAAGGCCGCGTACGGGTTCGGAAAACGTATCTTCTGGAGGCAGGACGGTCGCCAAAGGACGCTCTCTTTCTGGGTCAGCATTGAAGTCCAGCAGGATGAAATCGTTCCGGATCTGCCGTGATAGCACGCATCGCTGGCCAGAAGCGATAGTAATCCACGACGGCACCAGTGCTCCCATGTTAATCCAGCGGCAGATGTCGGGTCCCCATACAGGATAATGCATTTCGGAAACATCGGGTGAGCTCAACAGAGCGAGAAGCGCATGTCGGTGGATGAAGAGAAGTAAGCGGCACGATGGACCTGGGCCACGAAACATGATCCTGAAGACGATGATGGCTTCCTCCGCAACAGAGCTGAAGGGAACCGCACGGTCTTGGAACGCACGGCTGCGGGCTGGGCTGGGTTCGCCCCGTACGCTCAACTCCCATATGCGATGCTCGAGCGAGAGCCGCGGCAGATGTAGCACGAGTGCCGGTTCGCTAGGTGGTTGCTCTTCGGAGATTCGCCAGAGTTCGAAACAAGCCGTATGGGAGTTCGCGAGCAGGAACACATCCGTGCTGAGAAACACAGCACCAGAGTATGTGTGGTTCACTGCTTGCAAGTCCTGAGATACATGGTCAGGCCGCAAAGGTCAGAAGCGGACACAATTATGCTGGCTCACGAATTTCACGGTTCCGGTTTTCCAATTATACAGCCACACGCAGTCGGGTCGATGGGCGAGAGGATAGCTCGCAATGACAATAATGTGATCCCCTGCGACTTCCAAAATAAGGCTGCAGCGTTCATCCTGCGTGTTGGTTACATCGATTGCATCCTTAGCAGCTGGGTGCCGGTTTCCTGTTAACACACTAACGAACTCCAGACGCAATGTGAATTCAGTGTCTCTGTGATCAGTCAGGAATCGCACCGCCTAAATCACGGCACTCCACGCACAAGGTTGCCAGTACCAACAGATCGTTCTCTTCGACAGAAAGACCAAAATCTACGATGTGTCGGTCTGGGGAAGATACCGCGATGCGCTGCCAGACGGGTGTAGCTGATTCGACCCTCGGAAGCCGCAAATACCACACTGCCTGTCTCCCCGCTTCCCCCAGCCAAAAGGTCTCTCCAGAAAGCTCATAGATGCTCGAAGACTGGAACGGAACGGGGACGCTGCATACCCATGCTGGCCGCGCTTGCTGATACGCTGCCTCTCGCGCATTCAATCGTTGCAGCCGTTCAATTGCACCGAGGGGCGACAAGGGATTCCCTTCGACGCCGGCTATCTCGGCTGAGCGGAGGAATTGGAGGTTGGCCGAGGAGGATATGAGATCGTGGAGAGTGGTGCATACGTTCGAACACGAATCGAGATCGCATCTGGAAAGAAAGCCGAAGGCATATACAATGAGCTCTGTAGGCAATTGAAAAAGACCCATGGTTGTGTCCTTTGGCCTGGTGTCACCCAGCGGATGGCCGATGTCCACACTTGGAAGCTTGTGGTGATCCAGTCAGAGGCACTGCCACAGCTGTCCATTTCATCGCACCACTAAGCATTTGCACTCTGCGACGGTCTGATCGCTACTCCAGCGAAAAATTCTTAGGAACTGGAAGATTATAGTCACAGACGGCGCAAAACGGAATGAATTGTAAGGTCAGAATTGTCCGGATCTGACTCGCAACCTGGCAATCTTGCGTCTGCTTCCTATTCACCGCGAAGGTCTATTCTTCTCGATCGCGTGAAAACAGCCATCTCTGCGCGTGTACGCTAAAGTCTTCAAGTGGCCTTGCACTTTGACGGCTGCATAGTGCTTTCTGAGCCTGCTTGTTCTTGTGACCGTGAAGACAGCCACCCCGCCAAATTCCTGCTGATCCCACTTCGAGGGATGGCGGGGGATCCAAGACATGTATATCCGCAGTGCTGCCCCTTTATCGACGCGCTCAAAACGGCGAGACGGGTTTCACTCTCCTTCACCTACTCTGTCTCTCACACCCCCATCACACGTTCTATTATCCATGACTTCTACTGTCGGAATCCTCCCGGATCTGGTCGGTCAGACAATCAATGACGGGTTCATTGATCTACACCTCTCTCGCGAACTCGGGACTGGAACATACGGTGCGGTGTACCACGCTACAGACACTGACTCAGGGGCTAGTTATGCGGTCAAGTGCTTGGGTCCCCTTGTTGAAGGCACAGAGCATGGCCTCCCCGTCGACGAAGCCGAGCTGGCTTTTCACGCACGGTGCTCTGCACATTCGAACGTCACGACGCTTCACCGACGGTTCACTCACTCTGGCTTTCTTTTCGCGCTCCTTGAGCTTTCCGCGGGCGGGACGCTCTACGATGCTATGCAAGCCGGGGTGTTTTCGGGTGCCGACAAGGAGGCCAAAGTGCGGGCCCTCATGCTTGATCTGATTGACGCTGTTCGTTGGTGCCATGAGAGAGGAGTGGTCCATCGAGATCTCAAACCCACAAACATTCTGTGTGATGCAGCTGGTTCGAACGTGCGCATCGCCGATTTCGGTGTTGCCGTAGATGCGACTGGTCTGGTGCAATCCACGGGTGGGACTGTGGCCTACATGACTCCTGGTGCGTAACTTTTCCTCAGGGAGCACTCCATCCGCAGCGCTGAATCCGCATCGCAGAGTCACTACTCTCCCAACCTCACGATGCCAGCATGTCCGACCTGTGGGCCCTCTCACTTGTTTTTCTGTTCGTCATAGGCAATGGCCTCAGCCCTTGGAGTCGCGCCCATCAATCGGACAAGGGATTCCACATGTTCCTCAACAACGGAATGTATCTCCGCTCGCTGTTCCCCATCTCTGATTCGCTCAACAACCTGCTCGAGAGATGCTTCCAACCCTCACTGCCGATGATCCGCCCCACTTTGCTCCAGATGCGGACGGAAGTTGCTGGCATGAAGCGCTTATTCAGGAACGACGATGGCGATGACGAAGACGACGGATTCATTGTAGTAGCTAGGCCCCGCCAGAGGGTCTTCAGCACACCGCTGCACTCGTTACTGCATGCTCCGTCCCAGCACTCCGCCGCACTCTCTGCTACGTTCGATTCAAGCAGCTTCCGAGTATCCCATCAACGAACTCTCGACGTGCTCGCCACGCTCAACGCCTTGATGCCACAAGTCCGAGCGCTGAGCGTCGATCCCGCTCCGTCCGCGTCCGCGTCCGGCTCATCGACCGCGACTGCATATCTCTCCGCGCACTCATCGTCCTCTGCGACCGGATCAGCCTCGACGTCGGCTTCATCTGCGATGTTCAACCCCAAGTGGCACTCGGCCTTCAAGCTGAGTTTCAAGGGCGCTCGGCCCAGTGACGCAGGTCGCGCTCAAACGACGGTCAAAGTGACCATCGAAACGAACCCTCCTCAGCCGGATCGACTGCGTGATCGGATGAAACGCGCGCTGCGAAAACTGATTCCTCGGTTCGCTGTTCTCAGTTTTCCGTCCGAAATTCACTCAGCTAGATCAACAGCATCCGTCCGTTTCCTCGTCAGCGAGTCTGATGGGTGGTTTGCGTCCTGAAAATTCAAACAGAAAGCTTTTCTTATCCCTTTTCCCTTGTCTCCTTCTGTCTATTCCTTCGTCAAGCTGACTTTTGTCTAGGACGTCGTTGCTCGCCTTCTTCGCTTCAAGTGGAGGATTGTGCTTTGCCTGGATTCATAACACTTCAGTTAAGTCTTTGCTCTGTCCCTCACCTCTCGCTCGAAGAGTTTCTTGGGCCCGGCCAGCTCGATGATAAACTCGATAACGAGCGCTCCTTTGATGCTTCTTTGTATACCGAGGAGACCGTTTGCTGATTATCCCAGTAGAAGATACCAAATCCAACGTCTAACGTGGTTGCCGACAAAGATGAGTCACAAATATCTCTGTTCCTCGGCCTCGAACCTCTGAGAGTCTGGCCCACTCGATGAGTGAACGGGTCGAAACGGATGATGTCTTGAATTTTCTTGGCATATCGCTAACAGCTGCATAGATATATCCTTTCCCCTTCGACCGTGACCGAACTCTTCTTGAAGCTCTCATTCTGACCATGCAATCGTCATTCCAACTTCAGCAAGCGGGGACGTGGGCGTGGTCGGACATATTGGAATCAACTATTTCATTTTAGCTCTGGGCCGCGAGAAATGAGGACAATTAATATACAATAACATGTACACTTGGAAGTTGTCCGATGCAGTTATTGTGATTGTGGCCATCCAAACGCGATCACGTGTCAGTTCGATTCGACCGAAACGCGAGCCAACCTAGCTATCCATGATTGAAATTGGATCATTATTCTCGTCCTCGGAAGGGGTTTTAATTTGCTTAACAATCAATGTCGCTTGTGTATATATCCGAGGAAATTATATTCAAGCATCAGAGTTAGTGAAAGAGTGTAGGTTTGTCTGGAATCGAAGCGCACTGTCGCCCATACAACCGAACGAGCCCGCTCACATCTCGCAAAGGAAGAAGCACATGAGTCTCATGAGAGGTCTGCTAGAATCAATTGTCCAACAGTCCACGTCGCAGACACGGCGAGGCCGATTTTCTCAGATCAGCAATGTCCCACCAAGTAAGCGGTGTAATAACGCACCCAAGATAGTGGGATAGTGGAGGGTGCTCAGAAAGTTCATGCGCTGCTTTCGCGTCAGAGAGTGTGGGGCTTAAGAAAGAGGTGACCCACTTTCTCGGGGTTTCCACTAGAATAGCCCGCGGCGTAGGCGACGCGAGAGAGCGACCAGATGGTGAGCATGGCCGACGAGAACACGGGATATTTGATGCTGGTGATCAGAGTCCTATGGGAACCTCAGACCAGCTGCGAAGGCTCGTAAATTAAAAAAAAAAAACATACGAGGTGTAGATCATGGGAATGTTTTCCAAAGTCTGTCAGGAATTTCAGGTCAACGAAATATACACTCTATCTCAAAGCACGAACATTTTGATGGGCACCTGGAGCTCGTTAAAACCGGATAAAAAAAAGAAAGCCTGCTCTGAAAGACTTACGCTGAGCACAGTTGAATGCCATGGCCTCTGGGCTGGCCTCGATCTCCGCCTTCTCGGCATAAGCTGTACATATATGTTTGACACGTCTCGAACTGGTCGGGACTGAGGCGTACCACGGGGATATTTTATGTTGGATTTACGGCGCGCTTTCACCACCAGGCTGATCTGGTAGATCAGCATGTACACGGTCGAAAGGAAGGCGCCGGCAACATATGAAGAACTGTTTTGACGACTCAGTGAAGGACAGTTCGAGTCCGTGAGGAGCTATGTTTTACCCCTTGGGAAGAACGAAAGTTGACATTTTGAGAAGAATGAGTATATGTATGAGTCTTGCAACGAGCGGTATTTGTAGGTGGCGAACCTTCCGCGTTTCCGTCCAGGGTTGCGCAACCCTGCCGGGATGACCTAAGCATGTTGACGGCCTGATTAGATTATTATGACTATCGATTTTGAATCTGATGTCAATCACCGCTCTTCTCGCTTGTTTCATGTGTAATGTACCGCCCGCAAAGCCACCACAGTCAATCCATCCCTCACATCGCTCTTTCTCCTTCTGCTGTGAAGTTGCGCATATGTTCGCACACAGCAGGGAAGTCGAGGTCATTGGGTACCGATACATCTTTCTCCCTTGCAACTGGACGCACATTAGTGTACATCATGGGAATGGTTACTGTGCGAGAGCAAACACAAAAAGGTCACACTGGCTTTCGAGATAAAACCTCAGTAAGATGAGAAGACTGTAATTATCTCACGACCAACATGTATCTATATAATCTGTCCTAAATCCACGGACAAGTCCTCTGCCTCTGAATCATATTGGGATGCAACTCAAACTAGATTCCCGCAGCTACCAGGGTATATGCGCTGTAGATCGATCCGCCGAGTAACGCTAAGTGGATTGAGCCTTCAGGTGCAAAGCTGTCCGATTTCGGGAGGTGTACTTACTGAGCTGGCCGGGAAGGTAAGTTCCCAGGTTGAAGATGTTGTTCCGCTGCGGGTTCCAGTAAGTCTCATACCGACGCGAACACTACTACACGCACGTTCTCCGGCTTCCCTGACGCGTATCCCACGGTGTATGCGACCCGGCTGACAATCCAGAGACCGAGCCCAGTCGCGGCAGCACGGGGCGACGTCAGTGAGAGGACCAGCGTCCTGCGCACCGGATAAGTGGGTGCCTGATTCGATGAGAATGGATACCTTACATCATGTACACTTGGGCGATGTTTTCGATAGTCTTCAGGCGGTGATGCGGTCAGTGTTTATGCTACAGGAAAGCCGCCGGAAGCAACCCACGTTTTGATGCGCACGTTGCACGCAGTTGAATTTGTGCGCCAGAGGATTCTTGCTGGCCTCCTCTTTGTCGGCATACACTGGCCACGTCAGAGCGCTTGAAAACGCGTCAGATCGGCTGGACGTACATTGAGGATAGGCAATCCCAGCTGCCGCACGGTGTTTCGAGACCGTAATGCTCTGGCCCATCAACAGGATCGTTGTGGAGGCGAGTGCGGCCGCAACCCAAGAGAAGCTTCGCCGATATCGTCATTCTCATGGCATTCTCGACTGGGACGACAAGCATACCCGGTAGGGACAGTGATTGTTGAGGTCATCGAGGTTTCGATTGAGGAAGAAAGTATGAGTTTGTCGAGGTATTTAGCCAAGTAGAGCAGCAGTGAGCAAGCTTCAAAACAAAGCCAGGTATTTAGGCCTGATCGAAGTTTTCCGGACAACCGGGGAACCGTGGCCCGATTGTCAGCATGACTCAGCCTCGTTGTGTACATAGAGGCCGCCCCATCAATGAATCAATTGGGTACAGGTCAGTCTGAGCCTGGTCCAAGGCAACCCACGGCAACCGAGGACTGGCATCTACAAGGGTGCCCACTGCCGATGAACACCAACTGTGAGTAAGCCGAGTCGGACGCGAAGAGTTCGTAGTACGTGGCAGCTTATGAAGCACCACAGGGCCAATGGTAAGTAATCATTTGTTCGGTCGACAATGACTTGGCACGGCACGGGCGAGACCATAGCGCTCCATGTTCACAGGATCGAAAAAGATGGAGCATAACAAGGGGGCGGTCAATTCAGGGCCCACTCAAGCGAACCGACTTATATAGCGTTTGGTGGCGGATTCGCGATATATCATAACAATTGCGTGCAAAGGCGCATTTCCCCGGCACAGGTAAGCAAGTGTGGTAATACGAAACCATTGGCCTTATCTGACTCTCCACGATATATATCCAAATAAACATTGCTCTATTGACCGGCCACCCAATTGACCATGATGCTTCTCGTCCCACTCTTTTCACTCGGATATGCGGCCAAGACTCTCTCTGTGGCCAACTCTTCAATAAGGTTCAGGGTGTTGGGGACGGCGGTGCTGGACGCAGAAGGACTGGAATTGTCCATCAAATGCCGAGCGCACTTTCGATGGATCAGCGGTTTGGTCAATTTCATCAAGACAAGTCAGTGCGCACTAGTTTGACGCCAAGCCAAGCTCGGACGGCGATCCCACTGGGAGGGAACGCCTCTGGAGAGTCTAGCTCCCGTTCGAGCATGTCGACAGCAACGAGGAAGTATTTCAGCGCAAGGGGGATGTCACCAGCGGTGTATGCTGTCTCGGCGTATTGTAAGACATAGAATGGGTTCTGCGGAGCGAGAAGGAGGGCGTGAGATAGCGATTGCAAAGAGTTTGAGTATCTGAACAAGGATTGATGAGACAGAGGCATAGAAAAGAGTGCATTCGTACTGATGGCAGGAAGTGTAGATGTCCGTCAGCTCCAACCATCCGTCTACGTCGTTGTAGAATATATCGAGTAACTCCGATAGGTCTGTCACTGCTTGTTCAAGCCTCCCTAATCTTCTGAGAACTGAGATCTTGCGCTTCCAAGCGGCCTGAATGGTGTGACACGACGCAGGGGTGCAGCAAGGAGGCGCGCACCATGTTGGCCTCATCTGCGTCCAAAAGTTGTGTGTAGTACTGAAGCACCGTCTCGGCAGGCTCTGACGCCTCCATTCGTATTCCAGTAAGGACCTCAACGCGCGGAGAGTCCCGGAATTGATCGCTCAATTGTTGCAGACATTTCTGTGACGAGAATGAGCTATACGTGGGCAGACAGGTGAAGCACGGGCGAACATCCGCAATTTCAAGGCGACCCATATCCATAGCCGCAAGGAAAAGTTGTTCGAGCACCGTCCAACCTGCGAGAAATAAGGTCATTGAACCGCATACTGCGTGTCCTATGGACCACGCACCATCATCCCCCAATGATTTGACCGAGTTCAAAATGAGTTCGGCATTCTTGAACACTTCCTGCGATTCGCGCGCATTGCTATTGCGAAAGGTGGCGAGTTTCTCGAGGACGGAGGAGAGTGACATTGGGAGGGGACCGGGTCACCTGAGAAGCGCGTGCCGGCTGGAAGACAAACACGCGATGACAAAGACCTTCTCTTCCTCCAGCGTTGTGGGTCCCTCGTCCAAGCGGCTCCATGCCGTACCTTGGATGACAAAAGGGCACATTGATCTTGCCTCTTTCCATACTCACTGCGGGCGATCGCGACCTGCGCTTGAGATCCCCACAAGAAGCGTTGTAATCGTCGATGCACCCTTCTCCCGACGATGCTCTAACACTTGCCGATATAATGCACGACTCCCCTCCGCGTCCGAGTTCGCCAACCGTTGAAGCACTCCAGGACCATGAGATCGCGGAAATACGCGCCCGCGCTCTGCAACTCGAGAACGAGGCAGTCGGTGCGGCGCGTGAACAAGAGCTGCTCGATATGGTTCGTGCTTCTGACGCCTCATCAAGCAATACTCACGCCTCACCTAGATTCTCAGGCTGACGGATCCCTCGCGACTTCGTCCCGATCCGGCACAACTCGTGAGACAGGCTGAAACTATCGCTACGCTGGTCCATGAACGAGAGTATCTGATACAGTGGATTGGGGAGGAGAAGATGCGATGGCAGAGCGAACGCGAGGGATGGGAACGATCCTCAGAGGCCTTGATTATGTTACGAAATCGTCGCGTCAGTGTAGTGGGACAAGAATCGGTCGGTGCTTTAGTTGTGCACTCATCGTAGGTGTTCATCTACAACCCACAGGAACTGCAAAGGATGTGTGAGACTCTGCAGATGGAAAAGCAAACGTTGGTAGCCAAGGTTCAGTCTCTTCAACTGTCATATTGTCAAAAAGGACTGAAAGAAATTGATAGCTGGACCATCTCCAATCGAGAATCAATGCGCTGGAGAGCGAGGTGCTCAAACTAAAGCCCAATCTTCTGATGCAGCCATTCGTTCCAACTTCTGCGGTTGGGTCTGACGGCATATCACAACCGCCATCTTTGCATGCCCTAGCTCAATCCTCGTCTTACCTTGCCGCTCTTCCGTACCCTTCGATGGGCGACACAGTTGCTTCTCGAAAGAAGAGGATAATTATGCGATTGAAGAGAGCGATGAACCCGAATCGTATAGCGTCGTCGTCCAGTCTCCCTTTGCCCCCGTCGGATTCGCGTACAATCAATGACATCCCTCGGAGGGCAACCAATGGTCTTCGAAACAAAACACGACGCAATCAACCCCCTCTCATGCTTGCTTCCGACGCCAGAGCGGAACATCTCTTGCTTGCTGCGAAGCGGATGGGACGGGAGCGGGCTGGGCTTGCAGTGGGAGTGCTGAGTGCTGAGCGGAATCGAGCGGAGCGAGAGAAGGCGGCGAGAGATCACGAGGCAGCTGAGAGAGAGCAAGAGAGATTAGAGAGAGAGCAGCGGAACCAGGAAGCTGGTGCAGGCTATTATCGAGAACGTCCGGTGTCCGGCTCTGGTAGCAAGGGAAAGGAAAAGTCCAAGCAGCTTGAACCCGCGATCAGCTCGTCGACGATGATCACTCGCCGACGCGGTCCCGTGTCCGAGGTTGCCGATCTTCCCGAACTTAAGCGACGGAAAAGCAAGAACAAGTCATCCGAAGTCACAGGGCTGACCACTCGCGCAGATGCGGACTCGGTCTCCGGTAGACGCACTCGTGGCAAGCCGAAAATCAGAGCCACTCCCGAGCCTCCACTTCCGGACATTTCATCTCAGGAGATTTGGCAGACTGGTCGGGAAATGGGTGAAGATGCCGCGCTGGGAGATGTCGAGGTGGAAGCTGCGGAGGAGATGACTGTCGGGGCGAACGAGACATTGCGAGATATGGCCCCCGCTACAACTTCGCCCGAGGAACATGCAGGTGATGGTCCTCTTGTTTTGATATTGGATCCATTACGGCCGACGTCTCAAGGCAGAGAATTGGTCCTTTTGCCTCTCGCGGACGACGAGTATCTTGACCACGACGCCGATGGCGAGAGCGATCCTGATATTGAAATGGTCGTTCCTCAATCCACCTTGGATCGCAATGCATAATCTGCTGCCAGTACCCATTTGTATCCATCTAGTCTGTATCTTGTAATGGCACCATATCACGCTTGTGCTCTTTCCTGTCCTCTGTCTCAATTGCCGAAGCCATACAGATTGGTCAAGCAGAAGCATGGTCGGATGCACATGTGACGGACGTGACGTTGATAGCCGGACGGATGTGCGAGGATGTTGTTTCGCGCGCTCACCTCGCTAGCCCTCCTCTGCGGAGCGTTAGCGCAACAGACGAAGTTTCACCTATCTTCTGTTGGACATGAAGAGTTCAAGACACTCTCGAGTGCACGGTTCCCGAATCATCGGGTGCGCGTCAAGCAGAGCGCGTTCTGCGATCCCACCGTCAAGTAATCCCTCGCGCGGGTCCCAAATCTAGTTCGATCTCAATTGACTCCCGTCTCAAGTGTGTACACCGGATACCTCGACGTAGACGAGGGCGCGAAGCATCTGTTCTTCTACTTCTTCGAAAGCAGACGCGATCCAGCCAAGGGTGAATACATTCTAATCTGATACCAGGAAGACTCAATTACTAAACGCCTAACGCTCGGCAGATGATGTCCTGATGTGGAGTGCGCCGCGCCTCTTGTAATCATCGCTGTTGCTCAAGCTCTCTAGTCAATGGAGGCCCGGGGTGCAGCTCGTCGATGGGGTTGCTTATGGAGCTGGGTAGGCTCATATTGTCTCACTGTCACAGCAGGCTAACGATACACACTGCGTAGGGCCGTGCAGCATCGACATGTCATCGAATGGGACGGTCTGGAATCCGCACTCCTGGAATTCATTCGCCAATATCTTCTTCCTCGATCAACCGTATGTCCCCGCCATCCATTCTAGCGCATAACATTGACTTCAAAACAGTGTAGGAGTTGGTTTCTCGTATGCCGAGCACGGCGAAACGATCGAAACGACTGAGGACGCAGCCAAGAACGTGCACGCGTTTATCTCGCTCTTCTTCGAGGCCTTTCCGCAGTTTGAAGGTCGGGCGCTGCATCTGTCAGGAGAATCCTATGCTGTACGAAGCTATGCAAAGATCACGAGCTTCGTGTGCTGATTTTTGTACAGGGCCGCTATCTTCCTGTATTTGCGAGCGAGATATACGATCAGAACCGACAAGGGCACTCCAATATCAACCTGCAGAGTGTAATCATTGGGAATGGGATCACCGATATCTCAACGTCTGGATCTTCTTATCGTCTATCTCTAAATCTCTGATTGCCCCCAACAGTTTGTACCCGGGGCGTTATGAAATCGAATGTGGAACTGCAGCATTGGAAGTACCGTTTCAATCCATTGGGACTTGCGTTCGCATGAAGGCCGCTGTCAGTCTCATCTCAAACCTGACCCCTGCACCATCGTCTCTTACAACTTATCAGCTTCCACGATGCCAGCAAAGGATGAAAGAAAGTTGTATCGACCGTTTCGACGCAATCGATTGCCAAGCTGCGGTCAGCTTTTGTGACAACCAGCTCTCCTCTGGGATGTGGGCAAGCGGGCGGAATGTGTACGACATCTCGAAGGTTTGCTGTCAGCCCCCGTCAAGATGATTCACGTTTATCGGTCCCCAGATGTGTGTCGGCGACGGACTGTGCTACGAAGAAAACCAGATCATCACCAAGTACTTGTCTGACCCCGCGATTCTGTCCTTGCTGGGTGTCTCGCCGGATGCTGCCAACTTTTCCTCGTGCTCGAATACCGTCGGACGTCAATTCAGCTCCCATCTCGATAAATGGAACTTCCCTACACAACACTACGTGTCTGGTCTGCTCGACCGGGGAATCCGTGTGCTGATCTACGCCGGCACGTACGACTGGCAGTGTAATTGGGTCGCGAACAAACTCTGGGTCGACAAGCTGGAGTGGAGCGGCCAAGCGCAATATGCAGCTCTGGAGTGGACCAACTGGGGAACTAACGGCAAGGCAGGCGAAGTGAAGCAGAGCCCAGATCTCCCCTTGGCGTTCGTAACTGTTCGGGGTGCGGGCCATATGATGAGTCCCGCTTCTATCTTCTGCTGCATGTCCAATACTGATATTCCTTTACGTGCCTCATGACAAGCCAGGAGAATCTCTCGCAATGTTGTCCGCCTGGCTGCATGGGACGATGTTGTAGTGTTTCTTACGCGAAAGACGAATTGTTCTCGAGCTTCTGTCATGTAACATGCAACGACTGTAGTGTCGCATCTTCTACAGTCAAGACGTGTTTCCTCATCCAGCGCCATGAGATGGCAAAGCAATGCTTGATGATCTGAAGTCCAGATTCCCCTTCGCCGAGTAGGTCATGGTTTTTCTGACACGAATTTGACTACTCTCTTCTAGTCGAGGTAAGAATATGTCGTATGTAATGGGGACGCTCCCTTCTCGATGAGGGATGGAGATAAAGCATTGACAAGCAGAAGTGAAGCATACACCTGCGCCGACCACGGAAAACGGAAGGCAGCCTCTAGATAGCCTGCGGTGGCATTTCCCCTGAGATTCAAATTCAGAGAATGTTAGACCAACGCTTAGTCCTATCTTGTAGCACCAGAACTCAGAGGGAAGGCGGACTCTGAAGTGGTAAATGATAAGTAACAGTATGACTCGTGTAGTGAGTCCAACTGAATATGCTTTTCGAGGTCGTATCCAGATATCCAGGGATCGGGTTTCCAAAATGACTGAGGCCAACGCCTTGTTCATCGTTTCGTGTCATCTTGCATTGCCCCTTGCTACCTCCAACTCGCCTTATTTCCCTCATGTCCTTAGCCGTGTCCCAATCAACTAACATTTAGCCGTTGCGCTGACCACAAGATGATCATGCTGATATCTGCTTAGCACATCGCTCGTCACCATACGTATCATCGAAAACATGTCAATCTCGGGTCAGGGTCCTCCTAGTAACTTCTTCAACAAGGTCGTGACCTCCGCCATGTTAGCCTCGATGCGTCGCAATCGTTCCTTGACGTCAACCATGTCGCCCTCTACTTGCTGGAATCGATCCTCGTACGCGGAGAACTTGGACTGGAGCGCGCATATGCGTTGTTCAGCCGTGAGAGTTCGTTCTTCGACCTTCTCCTGGACTCTGACCAGATCGTGATCGTCAAACGAATGGCCCTCGAAGGTCGTGCTGCCTTTCGCATCGCAACCCCAGCAGATGAACTGATAGCATTGGACACAGAACCAGCACGGCTGGACGATGGCTGTTGCGCACACACGACAAGGCAGGGATCCTTCGCTGGCTAATGCCGCCCGAGCTTGCACCAACGCCGTTTTGGAATCCCTATACATCTTTCCAAACTGCCGATAATGCATGAACCGTCGGAACTTGACCACGTCGTGGTGCGGCAGGTGCGGTTTCTCCATGTCGTCCCGCTTGACCCGCCTCCCCATGCAGCCCGCCAGGTCGTGGAAGTCGACCGTGTTCCAGTTTCCCGACTTTTTCACCTCGCATTCGAGGCAGATGATCCGGGCGCCGCCAATCCTGCCTCCACAAACGTCGCACTGATTAAGATCGTGTCCGATTATCCTGCGCAGCTGCCGATCGCCCAGCGAGTGATAGAATCGCGAATCCGCCGTCGTCAGCCGGTGCTTCAGCTGCGAGAATTCGCCGTCCTCTGCCTCGGTGAACGGAGGGCCGTACGTTTTCTTGCCCGATCCACTGCGAGTGAACAGCTCCAAAAACCGCAACCGCCGATTGCGCCGCTCTTTGAAGTACGACCAGGACCAGCGTTCCCGGCGGATGTCTTCCAGCACGGCCTCGATCGCAAACCTCCACAGCGCTCGCGGGCGATTGGCCTGCAGCTCAGCTGGAGTTGGGGCCATCGCCATGTACCGTGGACTGAGCCGCCGGAAGACAAAGGTGACGACATCGTCCTCCGGATCGTCAGTGAAGCCTGCTGAGCCAGATAAAATCTCAGCCTCTGGGTCCCATGTGCCATGGTAGTATTGAGCCTGCAGCCGGGCACGAAAGGAACGCTTGAAGTTGATACGCAATGTCGACAAATCACATTGACCTTCGATCGTGAAGTCGGCGTTGTTGGCGCGATCGGACGCAGTGAAGTGTTGGATGGTACCCTCAGACGGATTTGGTAGCAGCGTAAATGACAGCATCCCAGCGAGAGAGCACCGAGGGTCGGAAGCAAAATAGTAGTAGCCATGCCACGCAGCGGAAAAGAGCCTCTCAAAACCCGGTAGTGGTGCTATCACCAGGGCAATCTCGGCAGGAATCGCGTACGCTGCCTCGTCGAGTTCCTCTTGGTCAAGAGGATAGTTGAGGATCTGAGACACATTGTTCAACTTGGCTTCTTCAGCCTCATTGTACGGATACTCTTGAAACTCCCTGTTGGGCGCCTGTGAGTCATGATCTAGCTGTAGCATAGCACTGACGCATCCTGAACAATTTTCTCCGCCCACACAAGATTGGGTTCATTCATGTATTCGAAGACGGCAAACGAGAAAGACTTGAACTGCTGTCGTAGATCAAGCTTTTGCTGCTTGAATATCGCTGCGCCAGAATGCATCAGACGTGGTCTGGTTTGATGAGAGAAGGTGTACTCTGTAGTTCAGCTAAACGGGTTTTGGCGGCATCAAAAACCCGAAGTATGGTGTCTGCAGCATCCGAGAGTTCATCTTGATGCACAGGCGTCGTTTGGCACACGCGTAATATCTCAAAGTGTCGTTCGAGTAGCAAGTATAGCAGAGGGAAAAAGAACTGGAACATGCAGTCTCTGCCGAAGTTGATTACGGCTTGGCACACCTTTTCGATTCGACCTCTTCCTGGTAGAGTGTAAGAAAGAAAGCAACTCTTTCGTGATGACTAACCTGTGATCAGATCCAGCGTGTCCCTAGCATCGATGCTAGATAGCTGGTGATTAGATGCGATGGCAAGCTTTCTAAATAGCTCAACTCGTATCGCACGGCCTCCAAATTCGCTGCGGGGGGATGAGCAGGCATAGGTGGCAAGGGAGTCAGCAAACAAACCTCGCAGTCTGGCTTCCTCAGCAGTAACATAAGATTTGAAATTCTTCTGTTGAGCAGGTCAGATCGCTACTCATGAACACTCCCAACAACAACCTCCAGCGTCAGGTTACTAGGGCCCCCATCCAGTGATCCGACGATAGTCCATATGCCCCAATCCATAGCCCTCATATACTCGTCGACGGTGGACTTGTTTGCGGGCAAGATATGGGGAATGATTCCAAACATCTTGCAGACAAGCAGGTTGATCTTGACCGCGTACATTTGCATCGTGAGGTGGTGACCCACAGCCCAATACGCCATCCATCGTAGAAGGCTTTGCCGACTCATGAGCTCATAGCCAATACGTGACCATGTGATGGCGCTCACCTCCATCCCAAAGGACGTGATGTGGTAAATTCATTCGCTTCCGCGACGGTGACGAAACCGGACGCGTCGTCATCAAATGCTTCAGAAATCGGCTGCAGATACAGTACACTGGAGAGGGTGAGCATCGGGCCTGTGGGAAGAAAGATGAAAGTATGCACTTGAAGTATTCGAGCGCCCATGCATCTGCTTTGTCGGCTTCGCTTCGATTGCCTTGAATGGCTTGCTCTTGAAAATGATCGCGGAGCGCCATCACGAAATGGCGTGTCTTCACACTACCCCGCCATCCCATGTCTTTCCAGACCGCATAGACATTCTTGTGACCCGCCCATCAGCTTCAACCCGAAAAGCCAGTGGTGTGTAGACAAACCGGATCCATTATTCTATCGTGTGGACCGGTATTGATGGCACTGATAACTCGATCGCCTTCGCGCTCAATGACTTTGGAGAGATCATCACTGGTGTTGTCAGCAGCGAGCTTCTGGCCAAGGACAAGGACTCACATGATTTGACGAGTCTGCACATCGAGCTTGCGAGAGAATGCGGCCTTGTTCGCGTCGATGGCAAGCTGTGGATCTGATTCCAACTCGTCTTTGAGGTCGTCCAGGCCATAAGCCCTGCGGACGTGAGTTGGCTCGCTGCCCGTGATTTTCTCCTCGAGAACACTGAGCTCCTGAAGAGCTCTGTCACTGCGCACAACCGAATCCTGTCCGCCTCTCCTGTCGATCATACGAGCCATTTCCTCCTGCTCAGGCGTCATTAAACTCTTGAACAGCTGCAACATCATGTCCATCTTCGCGTTCATCGCCGTCGTCGTGTGATCGACCGCACCGATGAGTTTAGTTGCCACATCAACACCCACTGCAGTGTGGATAGACAGCGCGAACTCGAATTCGGACCGGCGTTTGGTGAATGTGCCTGCGAATGCCACCAGTTTCCCGTCCCAGATTGGACCTTTCAGAATTTTGACTGTAGATTCCAATGAGAGACGAAATCATGAGATGAAAGAGCACAGACCGATCAGCTTCTTCTTGATGTATGTGTCGCATGCTATGGAGTGGTGTTAGAGCTAATCCCAGAGCTGCGGGGTATAGAGAAGCGGATAAGATGCAGTGTGCACTGCCACCCGTCGATCATTTGCGTAGATGTCGCCCTCTCTCATTCGGCGCATGCGCATCTGCAAGCCATTGAACGTCAAGCATTGGACATACCATTGGCACAGGCCTTGATGTCGTCCGCGGTCTCTTTGGCGATAACTTGCACTCTACCTTTGATAGTCGACCCGTCGGGTGCCACTTGATCAGCGTCCTTCACATTTCTCATCCTGTGCAAACAATCAGTAGGTAGTTGGTTCAGTGACTGCAGCAGAGGTTACTGCAGAAGAGCCCCCATCATATCTTTCATCTCCATATGCAACTGTGGGTGGAGCGTAGCATCAGTTTCTGGACCGCTCAAAGAGGGTGGGCCCGGCCACGCACCGCGACAATCTTCCTGTCGTTGTCCCTCCGCTTCTGTTCCAACGCCCAAACCGCCTTGAACGCCATCACCGCGACTGATGCAATACCGCTCAGGATATGCTTCGTCGCGAAACGCAAAACCCACCTCCGATGAACCTATACCACAATCAGCGCGACGATCAGAGTGCACGAACGCAACACACGGATGTAGCTTCGCGACCTCATCCAACGCGCTCATCAGCACCGGCATCCCCTCCATGAACGTGCTCAGCCCCTTCTCGATCACTTGCATCGCGCCCACGGCATCCAGCCCTGTCTCGACGCCCTGCACGAATGCGACGGGCTGTGCGCTGTCATCCATCGCGCCAGTCACAGAATCCTCGACCTTTTTGAGCATCTGGTCTGCCTTGTTGGCCTTTGGGTCGGCAGATGCGGATGCCCATGCGTCGTTCAATTTCTTCGAGAGGGCGTCCTGTGGTTCTGGGGGAGCTGCTACAGATGCCGCGGGGATGGACGGCAGAGGAGGGACGCTTGCCGCGCTCGACGTCGAGGAGGACTGCTTGTGCAGGCTCTTAGAGCTCAGCTTCTTGAGAAGTCGGGGCATGGGCATGTTGGAAGACAGTCTTGCCTGCTGGTCTACTACCCCACAGCACTTAAGTTCGCGTTCAGATTGCGCTGAAGCATCTTTGTTGGGACTAGCAGTTCCTGGCCATGGACACTCGGTTGCAATTCAGTCTGTGGTATGGATCTTTCGAAACCCCGGAGCCTGGGGATGTTCGAGTGCTCAGATGACCGCTTGCAATCTTAAATGTGATCAACTATCAGACGCGAAAAGTTCGTTGAACATGAAGACTGAAAAGTATTCTGATCGTTCCGATTCGGTTGAATCTGAAAGGAATTGGCTTCCAGATAGCATGTGTTACATCGATAATTCTGTGGCCTCCTCAGGGACCAATGTCAAGAGAATGTCATCATTGGCAGATTTCGGACTGAGAGGCTTGAGAATCTAAACACGGTGTCGTGACCAGCCCATGAGGGCGGCTGATCTCCATTATTAGTCCGTGAGAATAAAATAAGGGTCACAGAAGCGTGTGCGCGCGCGAAATTTTGACAAGTCCACAACGACCCCCGCGCGGTGCAGGTCACGTGTTCTGGCCGGTTCGAACCCGGCCCAAACATCAAAATAATTCTAAGTTCGCATTCGAAAGAGAGAAAAAGTTTGCATTATTCAGTGAACATTGTGTACTTATTAGAGTCTTTATATGTTCTCTGGCTCTTTCTTTTGCGCTTATGCGCCTGGATATGTCCACCTGCATCCTCAACCATCTGAAGAGCGGGCCGCAGAGCTTCTGCCAGTTGAGGTGCTATTCCACTTGGCCGGGAGATGGTTTCCATCAAAGCCTCGAAGCTTCGCTTGAGGTTCTCCCTCTGAGCTTCGGAAATGTATACCTATGGTATAAACATTGAGATTTAACAGCTAACAAACGAATTGGACATACCCTATCACCCGCAGTACCTTCGTCATCGGAGGCAAAAGCCCGGATATTGTTGTCTTCATCACGGTCATCATCTCCGCTCGGATCGATGCTCTCCAGGTCATCGAGCCCAGGCCCAGTCACTGGCCCGGGACTGGGTGCCCGATCATTGTCCTCGTCGTCGTCGTCGGATTCGGGTGTCTGCATCCGGGAACTCGAAGTCGATTGAGAACGGGAGTGGCCCCGGTGGAGAACCATGATTTCGACGTCGTGTTCAGGCTGTCGCAGACAATACCGCGCAGTGGAGATACGACCAGTAGCGATCACCTAAAGACACAGAGTCTCAGCGAGTGTAAGACACAGGAGCTATACATTAGCTGTACCTAAAGACACAGAGTCTGTGGTACAAGTCATAAGTAAGGGTCATTAGATTGTAAGGGAGAATGCATACCTCAGCGAGTGTAAGACACAGGAGCTGAGGATATGGAGCGTATAGTACTAGGTTTATATACCAGTCTGGAGCAGATATCATGATGTCATAGTGGAGTAATGATATCATAGATGAGTAATGGATGACGCAATAATGAGGTCAGGTATGAGGTCATTGTGGAGTGAGCCAAAGTAATCTAAGAATACTACTTATGATGTCATGTCTACATACTGTGATAGTTGCTAATACAAACAAGCTTCAACACTCCCACTCGACTAAACAGTCGGATCACGAAGACCCAAAGACAGCCGATGTTGTTGGAACTTCACCCATGCCAAAGACTTTGTGAGCGTGTCTGAGATCATCGCATCAGTCAGCACATGGTAAAGTTGGACATTGCCAGCTTCGACGGATTCTTGTACGAAGTGATAGCGGATGTCGATGTGCTTCGTCCTCCTATCATGAACTGGATTTACTGCCATAAAGATAGCGCCTTGGTTATCAACACAAAGAGGCGTGGATGGCAAGTCATATCCGAGCTCAGTCAACAAAGTGCAGATCCAGGTAATCTGGCGCGTAGCATCGCTCAGAGCCATGTATTCGGCCTCTGTTGAGGACAAAGCGACCGTGGGTTGGCGTCTAGAAACCCAGGTCACTGCACAACCGGCGATGAAGAAGGAATATCCCGTGGTGGAATGCCTGTCGTCTTTGTTCTCTGCCCAATCAGCATCGGAATGACCAATAAGGCCTGCGCCAGTGGAACCATCATAGCAAAGTTGGTAGTTTTTGGTGCCCTGAAGGTACCGGAGTATGTGTTTTGCCATGTTCCAATGATGTTCTGACGGGTTGCTGTTGAACTTTGATAGACGGATGACTGCATAGGCAATGTCGGGGCGAGTACCAAGCATGGCGTATAGAAGGCTGCCAATCAGTTGCTGGTATCAGGTACGACGGTCTTCATCAACTTCTCCATCATGCTTCTTGAGCACGATGCCGGAAGGCAGGGGAGTACGAGCTTCTTTGCAAGAAGACATCCGGAAACGTTCTAGAACTCCCTCGATATAGGAAGCCTGATCGATCCAGATTTTACGCGCTTTGCGATCACGAACTATGTTCAGACCAAGGAAATCCTTCGCAGGACCAAGATCTGTCATTTTGAAGTGGTTCGCGAGCATTGATTTGATCCGCGCTATCTCCAGCAGATTGTTGCCCATAATAAGCATATCGTCAACATACAGCACCAAGATGATGACCGTATCTCCCATTTGTTGGCGATATGTGTAGACACCGGCGTTGGAGTATGTCCGAGCAAAACCAAGTTCGAGGAGGGCATTGTGGATTTTGATATTCCACTGATGAGATGCCTGTTTCAACCCATAGAGTGATTTACGAAGGCGTGCCACCTTTTCTTTTGGCCATGACGAGAAACCTTTGGGTAATTCCGGAAGTTCCATATAGATTTCTTCCTCCAGATCCCCGTTTAGGAATGCCGTTTTGACATCCATGGCATGAATCTCCCAATCTTCGAGAGCAGCCAGAGCCATAAGTATGCGCAAAGATTCGTAGCGCAATACTGGCGAGAAGGTCTCATCATAGTGAAACCCATGAACCTGAGTGAATCCCTTGGCAACAAGTCGTGCTTTGAAACGACCGTCACGTTTCCTGCTAAACACCCATCTGCATTTGACAGTCTTTTGACCGCGTGGAAGGCTGGTCAAATCCCAAGTACAGTTTTCCTCGAGAGAGTCCAGTTCTTCGCGCATCGCGCGCTCCCACTTGAGTGCATCCGGGCTCTTTGCTACATCCCGCACGTTTTGAGGCAAGTCATGCTCAGCTTGGGCAGCTGATAACATGGACTCAATGCTACTAGGCCTCTGATACGTAGTTCCATCTGGCATAATGCGGGGCTTATTCCGACGAGGGCGGTGATGGGCAATCGGGCGATCGTCTATTGGGCCAGGCATTAGGGGTACTTCTCGCGATCCCGTGACAGGACCTTGTTGCGTGAGGGGTGCCGGTGGCGATGGGAGAGCAGGAGGTGGTATGCTTGCATAAGGCGTTGCAGGCGCAGGATTATTGATAAGGTCAGGGAAGGATTCCTCGAATGGTGTGAACGGCTCCGGTCCAGAGGACACATTGCCGGTGACTAGCTTGGACTTGGCAGGGAATACTTGCTCATCGAACTCGACGTTTGAAGAGATTCGTATCTTGCGTTGATTCGGATCCCACACTTTCCAAGCTTTTGTCTCTCGTTCGTATCCAACGAAGATGTGGTCGGGGTGTCCATGCTCCAACCCTTTCGGGCGTTTTTCAACATCCACATAGAGAGACGCCTTGCATCCAAACACACGGAAATAAGAGATGTCTGGCTTCTTTCCAAGCCACAGTTCCGCAGGTGTTTGCCATCCCAATCGTGCCATAGGTTGTCTATTATGAACGTGGACAGATGCATCCATAGCACATTGCCAGAAGCCTTTGGATAGGCCAGCATCGAGGCGCATGCATTCCGCTTTCTCGTAGGCTGTGCGATTCCAACGTTCAGACCTCCCATTTTGCTGTGGTTCGCGTGGCGCGGACTTAGGGTGCATAATACCACGTGCATTGAGCCAGGCTGTGAGTTCATCGGACATATATTTGCCTCCACGATCTGACCGGAAGGCCAGTACTTTTGTGCCAAGCTGACGCTCTGTAAGGGCAACAAAGTTTTCAATCGCAGTAGAGGCTTGGTCCTTTGATTTAATGAACACCATCATGCCAAAGCTCGAGAAATCGTCATAGAACGAAATTGTGTAGCGTGAACCTTCCAACGACTGAGTAGGCCAGGGGCCCATTAAATCAGTGTGGATAAGCTCGAGGGGTTTGCTAGCACGTTTCTCTGATGCAGGGTACGGATGCTTGTGCTGTTTTCCAAGCATACATCCATCGCACATGCTGCGCTGGTCTTTATTGCGTCGCAAGGGGGGAACACCTTCAACTTGTGTCGGCAAGTGAGTAAGGGTCCTCCGAGCCGCATGACCAAAACGCTTATGCCACAATTCACAATCGGTAGTTTCCAGGGAAGCGAGCGCGGTAGACTCGTGAGATGCAGACACAGATGGTGCCACGAGCTCCTCGGGGTAGTACCAGTAGCAGCGATTGCTTGCTTTAAAGGTCATCAAGACATCCCCATGCGCTTTTCCCTTGTTGAGCCAATCCTTGGTGACTAGGATTGCCTTGTTGTCACCAACCACGGTGTAGTAACCAACCTGATTGAGCGCATATCCAGAAAGGTAACGCCCTCTTATGTGCGGGTTGTAGATGACATCCTTCAGTGTGAAGGTGTAGTCCATGCCACTACTAGTATGACCCCGCAACACAATATCTCCAATGGCTTCATTCTTGAAGCGGGCTCCCGACCCAACGACTACATAGGTGTCGATAGGTCTGATGTTGTGAAGATCGGATCGGGTGTTTGTCATATGATGTGTACAACCCGAATCCCATAGAAAACAAACTTTGGAGTCGTCTCCCATTTCTTCAACAAAAATTCCATCATCGTTGTGTTGGAGGGAGTCACTCATGAAATAGGACGAGAAGTGCATTCCATTAGAAGAAGCTGCAACCGCGGGAGCGGCTACGACCTCTTTGTTGTTTACAGTGCTGGTACCATCACCACTATTCTTCTTCTCTTTCTTCTTTTTCTTCTTCCCCTCATCCTGCTTCCCCTTGCCTTTGTCAGAAGATTGACCAGTAGGCTTGAGGTTGGGATACTTCTTGTAGCAGGATGCCGCAACGTGACCGGACTTGTTACAATGAGTGCAGCGGGTGGCGAGGGACGGAACGGTGGAAATCTTCGAGTTCGACGTCGTGTCGAGGTTCTCGATCTTGATATTCCCTATGACGCTGTTCTTGACATCGACCGGGTTCAAGGAAGCAATAGGACGATTGGCCAGATAAGAGGTGACGAAACCTCTGCTGGAAGCGGGTAAGGCGGCGAGCATGAGAGTCGCAAAGAGGTAGTCGGGGATCTCGATTCCTCCTTCCGAACACTGGCGACGACGAGTCTCCATTTCCATGATTTGCTTCTCAATGGTGTCACCACCATGGAAGGTGGTGGTGTTCAGGAGGCGGTACTCGACGAAAGCATCGATGGCATTTGGCTGGCCATAATCCGTCGCCATTTTCGCCCAAACTTTGCGCGCAGTGCGCTCCCGCTGACCGTCCATAAAGATTCCCTTGCGCAGATTCTGGGTAATATAAACCCGTGCAAGACCTGGTGCCTTTTCATTGGCAACATCCCATTGATTTTGGGAGTCCCCAGCAGTTGAAGGACGTTCGACTGCACCAATGTTTGCAGCTGGTGTACCGTTAACTGTGATATAAGAGGGTTTCACAACCCCCCAAGTGCCCTGGTGCATGCATATGCTCATATAGTTGTCCGACCAAGTATTCCAGTTTGTGCTGTCAAAGATGCTCAGGATGGAATTGTTGAGCTTTTCTATCCCGGACATTGTGGGAAGGAATTCGATGACGTTGGCGATGTGATGGTGGAGAAGAGTAGGTTCGACGTATGGAGGATCTCCAAACAGAAGACGAAGCACGACGGTGAAATTTCCTTGCGCCTGATCGCTGTTCTGATTGTCAATATCACCAACCCGATAGATGTCACCGGTGATGGATTCGATGGGAAGATAGGAGTGTCCGAAAGTCGTCCAAGAGTTAACAGGGTATAGGATAACCCCAACAGGAGGATCGTTCGGTGATGACAGGGTGATAGAGATGGAGACTAGAGCGACGAAGTCAGCCCCAGATTCTCTGCAGACCAAGAAACAAATCCCATAGTGCCAGATCTCTGAAACAAGAACGACCAAGCGTCCCCATCCCATCCATGATGCCCATATACGCGCGGGGAATGATAACAAAATAAAGCGGTATAGTAAGTGCCCATATTTGTATCAAAGTAACGTAACTATATACGTCAGCGGCGGCAGTACCCGACGGTGATTACTGCCCTCGCAGTCCGTCACTGGCCAAGGGACATGTGCCCAAGGCCGTCCCAAGCACCGGGTTTGGCCGCCCATCTTCTCCCTTTTAAAGACATGCATACACGCAGAGCGTCATTGCATGAATCCTCGTAGTGTCACCAGCCTGCAGGGTCCCTTGTGAGGAATGCGAGTCAACCCTGAAGGATTGTTTTGCCTGGCGGAGGGATCGACCTCCAGCAGCTGTTGAGAGCTACCACACCACCTAGGCGCTTCGCGCAAGGTTCAGAAGTGGGATTGACCAAAGGACCAGTGCCTGGTGGGTATGTCCGCTGTACAATAAAAAGATATAACGTAAAACACGCGTGAGCAATCATGGACGGAATAGCTAACGGCGCGTCTGCCAACTGAATGACTCCCTGACGCCGCTCGCGTAACCCCTTGAGGGTGAGAGCACAAATGCAAGGACCGACATCCAGCAAGTGGGACGAGCGCACAAAGACGGCGCTCTAGAAGGGCTGAACGAGTGAAAGATACTCGCCTTAGTAAAGGGAGTAGTTCGATGTTTCTTGATTTGCCGCTAGTGGTTCAGGCGGGGCCCATAACTTGTTGCAGACAATACCGCGCAGTGGAGATACAACCAGTAGCGATCACCTAAAGACACAGAGTCTCAGCGAGTGTAAGACACAGGAGCTATACATTAGCTGTACCTAAAGACACAGAGTCTGTGGTACAAGTCATAAGTAAGGGTCATTAGATTGTAAGGGAGAATGCATACCTCAGCGAGTGTAAGACACAGGAGCTGAGGATATGGAGCGTTGAAATGCTGAGGGCGCGCTCACAAGTGAATCTACTATGAAAGTAAACCCAAATATAAACACGTTCACACTCCTCGTAATCAGCTTCTCAGTGTGTGAAAGATGCGAGGGCTTCGGGGTGGACAGAGCACCAGTATCACAACTCTCAATAGACACAGATCCAATAGTCGCAGGAGACGAAGTCGACGACAAGAATTTATATATAGCAAACAATGGTATCTCAACCAATATCTTCTATACGAACACAACCAACACTAGTCCAATCCACAAACAACAATATAACAAGTCAGAACTTAATACGAAGTATTAAGATCCCTTGTAGCGACAGCGTCCAGATGGTGACGCAAAGCCCAAATATCAAGTCGACGCACTGCCAACCGATACAACCAATATACTGAGTCGACGCACTGCCAACTAGTAAACCAAAATGTCAAGTCGATGCACTGCCAACTGACACAACCAATAGTACTGAGTCGACGCACTGCCAACTAGTAAACCAAAATGCCGCGTCGACGCACTGCCAACTAACAGCCAATGTCCAATATCCAAAACCCGAGCACAACTTGTCGACGCACTGCCAAGCAAGAAGTGTGGAACCAAAGTTCTCAAGTCGACGCACTGCCAACTGACCAAAACAACCCGAGCACAACTAGTCGACGCACTGCCAAACTAGAGGTGTGGAACAATCTCAACAAAGCCCGAAGGCAACGACACTAAATGCCGCGACTAAACCAGATGCGGCGAATCCGACTTTCTGATGTCTCAAAACTCAAACTCAAATCACAGTAGCTACAAGTGCTCAGGGAGCAACTCGTCGCAACCGGGCAGGGGTAGCAGAACTTCTTAGGGTGGAATCACGCGACACGCAAATTGTACAAAACAATCTGAAATGAGAGTGATTCACAGTCCGGGGGAAAGCTTCCTAATACAAAGAAACGACGTGCTACTTATACTGTCTACGACGATGCTTAGTAAAGTCCTGTACAACTGCATAGTAGCTACGCTATCTAAGATCGGTTGCCTTTTAGGGTAATTGTAAGTCGAACGATCGGACAGGACCTGAGTGATCAGGACCCCGCCCCATAGTCCATATGATACTTTTGATGTGGGTCAACCCACCGCGTCATACTTTTGGAATACGACGTGCTGGATTGGCCAACGGGTATGTCTTGGCATGTGAGACCAACGTGGGCGCCCCAAGAAGCCGTATGGCCCTAGGCACGCCAGTCATCCCCCACATGGCTTGGTTCACGGATCTAGCCGTGTCGATTTCTAGTGTGTTTGGGTATGGACGCGACTCGCCGTGACACTTGGAAGTGACACCGCGACGCGTCCACAATGTCCCGTGATCGAATGGATCCGGACATGTGACAAGTCGTCGTCGTGGCATGATCTGAGGGAACGTCCAACTCAAAACCGGGAGTTGCCGCGACAAGATGGTTTAAGTCTCGTAACGCCAAGTCCTGTCCAGTAGTCGTTGTATTATTGAGAACGTCGCCCATTGCTCAGCCCTTCAGCCCACGTTCCTATCTGCAGAGAATGACCCTCTTTGAGAAGTCGACGCAACGACAGATCCCTTTTTGGGGAATGGTCGCGGTCCAAGCGTTCGTCACTAATAGCCCTGAGCCTGGTGTAGACTCATAAGACCAATTCCACAGTAGTGGTCTGACTGCCTTGCTATCGTCGACACTATCCACAGTCGTCGACTGGGCAGTAGACCCTTAAGTCCTACTGAGCGCAACACTGTCATCCGCGACACGATACACCGAGTGGTTCAGGAGTAAACTCTGTAAAAAGCGCAAAAATACGCCCTTACAGAGCTGGTGCAGAGCGCGTCTGGTAGCCAGCCTATCAGCGTATAGTACTAGGTTTATATACCAGTCTGGAGCAGATATCATGATGTCATAGTGGAGTAATGATATCATAGATGAGTAATGGATGACGCAATAATGAGGTCAGGTATGAGGTCATTGTGGAGTGAGCCAAAGTAATCTAAGAATACTACTTATGATGTCATGTCTACATACTGTGATAGTCGCTAATACAAACAAGCTTCAACACAGGCTCGGGTTTGTTCTCTTCAATATCGTGGATCCCGGGAATCACGTAGTAAGGAGGGAAGTGATTGCGCCGCAAGTTCGCAAAAAGAGCCAGATCTCGAAGAGGGCTGTTGCTCAAAGTCTGGTTAACTTCCCGAACGAGGTGCTTGCAGAGTAAAAAACGGCTCATCAAGAAAGCGGAACAACTGCAGACCCATTTGTCCACATATGTGAAATATGTGCCATGAGTGCGCTTACTCTCTTGATCCAACTGGGCGAGCCTCTCATCCCGATTCTTGGTATTCTTCGGCTTCCTAAGCCAGCGCAGTTGTTTTTCGGTGAGGCAATGATCATCTGACTTGCTGAGATCGACCCACGTAGCACGGAAGTCCTTCTGCCACCCAACAAGAGTCGGGCCACGTCCAGCACGGCGCATTTTGCGAATGCTGTCCAGGTTCCGCTTGATTCGAGGAAGAAGGTTAAGGATTATGACGTGGGTAACCAAATCAAGTCGCGGTCGATTAAATTCTGCGAGATCCCGATGCTTCACGTGTTTCCAGAGGCTCTCGACAATCATTGTGGTATTGATACGTGGGATTGTCGGCTCTGATGCTCGCGCCCAGAGTTTCCACTGAGCGGGGGAGTACCACCGGTTCCACATATACGCCCAGAGCTGCAAGAGATCCAGATCGAAGCAGTGGAAGTACATGTTGTACACAGCAGACTTATAGATAGCGTCGGCGGAGAGAAATGGATTTGGCTCCTCTGAGTCTGGATCATCCGGCTCGTACACCGGAATCTCCGGATGTAGTCTACCGTGCATCTTGTAGAGGTCGAGAGTGACATCACAATGTTCTGGCGGACAGAATACTCCCAGATCGGTCTTCCGAGCCTTAGGTGGGTTCGGATAGATTGGATGACGGATGTCGCCCTGAGTAAGAACGAATATCGGAGGAAGCAGTGTCTTAGTCTGGATCCCATCCTCAGAAAGACTGTGCGCATAAAATGGTCAAACATCTGCTCACTGGACCGTTCACATTGTTGCTATCCTCCTCCTGCTCCGAGTCGTTTTGTTCATGCTGAGAAGCATCTTCTTGAATCCGATCAATCCCAGGTGCCCAGGTAGGGTCAATAAAGTCCAAGACCATGTGTGCTTTGCGAGGATCGTAATGAGCAGGCCGCTTGTCCTCTGCGAGTCGCTCCTTCACATATCGAGGACTGTGCCACATACAAAGCTGATGTTTGGTACCAGGTAATGCGGTTTTAGCGGCATTAATTTCACTAATGTCTTTGTCTGTGTGCACGAACTGAATATTTGGACATTTTCGAGAGACTGCACCCAGAACCTGTTGAAGCATTCGGTCTTTGGCACCCTCTGCAGCATCGTCACCTGTCGATGTAGTGAAGACAAATGCGAGTGGTAGAGCGGTGCCATTTGCTTCAGCAACAATTGCATACAGCTTATATCCCGCTGCATTAGTTTTCCCTACAATGCTCAATCAGTGCACAGACAGAATAATCTTTAATAGATACTCACAAGTCGAATCCATCGCAATCTCCTCTGTGTCTTTTCCAAAATCGTTGATTATCTCGCAGAAACAAAAAGCGATTGAGGACAGCCCAGTCTCTTGTTTGAGCTCAATGATCTCGACAGTCATATCCTCGTACTCCTGCAGCAGGGCAAGGGCAGATGCAACCTGATCGTCGCACTTTCTCCAAGCTCCCTGATTGATGTCCGACCAGAAACGATAGATTTGCCGTTCTGTCAACTCTGTAGTAGTGTAAGGGCAACCTCGAGGCCCGATCTCAGAGTCCTGACAAGGGAGAGTCCAAAGCGTCAGATAAGGGGATCGACTAGTACAGGGGACTGGCAAACCTGACAAGGGAGAGTCCAAAGAGAAACCGAGTTGGGGACTCTCCTTGTCAGGGCCCACTATATATAGCCTACAGAACAATGGATGACCAAGCACAATGGAAGCGCCAGACAATGGGGCCAGGGAACAATGAGGGGCCGGATCGGGGGGAACAATGGGAGCCGGACCGTCGGAACAATGGGGGTGCGGGCCGGAGTGTCATGTGGACGCGCTTGGCAGGGAAGTCCGGACCGAAGCATGTGACGCTTGACAGATGGCACATGCGCGGTCACATGCGAGATCCCATGATGATCGGACAAAAGCAGGGGTTCCCCTGACATCACCCCCCCTCTTGATTGCGGCGCCTCGACGCAAGGTACGGTTAGGGGCCGATGAGTTCCTGAAGGGTAGCGAGTCGAATACAGCTGCTGCAATGACGCGTGGCTTTCCCGGGTATCTGCGGTAGAACGCTGCCACTGCGTCGTCAGCAAAAACATCGGAGTGCTTGACCCACTGGTCATGAGACGGGTCGTAGCCCTTCCATCGTACTCGGAACCAGACACTCCGGTAGCGCATCTTTGCGTCTAGGATCTCCTCCACTTCCCACTCTTCTCCTTCGCCTTGTCCCAGGACAGGGGGTGGTTCCTCATGACGCGGGCGAGTGGGGAACGGGTCGTCTTCGGCCAACTGGAGCTTGACCACAGGGAAGACTGGGTGGAGGCGAGAGAGGCTGGTGGGGAGGGCGAGCTTGTATATGCCCCGGCCTACGACTTGGGTGACTTTGAAGGGGCCCAGGCGTCGGTGGGAGAGGCCGCGAGAGGGTCGCGTCGTCGTGATGTCTGAGGCGTCGAGCCAGACTCGGCTGCCAACCTTGATGTCGGGAGCAGTAGTCCTTCGTCGGTCATAGTACCTCTTGTACTCGTCCTTTGCTTTGACAAGTGCCGAATTAGCCTCGGTTACACCTGATGCGACCCGGTCCAGAAACTCATTGGCGGACTCTGCTCGGGTGGAGCGCTGCTCTGTTGGCTCGAATCCCATGCGTGGTAAACGTCCTGTGTCCGTCATGAAGGGAACCTGCTGGGTCGAGGAGTGGACGTGGTTGTTGTAGGCGAACTCAGCTGCGGGCAAGAGTTCATCCCAGTCGTCCTGCTTGTAGCTGGTGAAGATCCGGAGGTACTGCTCCAACTCCTGGTTGACCCGTTCGGTCTGGCCGTCAGTCTGCGGGTGGTAAGCGGTGGACGTGGCAGGGGAGACGCCAACCAGCTTCCATAGCTCTTGGGTGAAGTCTGCCACAAACTGAGGGCCACGGTCCGAGACGTATTTGATGGGTAATCCGTGGTGTCGCCAGACATGCTTGTAGAACAACCGAGCCATCCCTTCGGCCGAGAGGCGAGTGTGGCACTCGATGAAGTGGGCACGCTTCCCCAGCATATCAACGACCACCATGATGGCGTCGTAGCCGTGCGCCTCAGGCAGCTCCACGATGAAGTCCACCGACACCGATTCCCAACGTTCTGAGGGGATCTCCGTGGGGTGAAGCTCTCCGGTGGGGAGTCGTCGGAGGGCCTTGGTCCGACAGCACAGGTCGCAGGTGGCCACGTACCGGCCAACATGTCGTGAGAGCTGGGGCCACCAGTAGTTCCGGGAGACCAGCTCCAGCGTCTTGAAGCGGCCAGCATGCCCCGCAACGCGGGTGTCATGATGTTGCTCAAGGATGCGTCGCCGTAGGTCTTTGTCACGCGGGACCACCAGCTTCCCACGGAAGTAGAGGAGGCCGTCCTGGATGCGCCATTCCGCTGCTACAGCGGAGCGGGCCCCCTTCATCCCTTTCAGAAGCCGTCGCGCTATAAGCGCAAGTTCTTCCTCAAGGTCAGGGTCACCGGAGAGCGATTCCCGAATGTCGCGGACAAGCGGGGCTTCCGGGCCAGAGACGGACAGTCCTTCGAGTGCTCGCACATGGAACAGTTCCGGTTTCAACAGGGTAACGTCTGTGTTGTCCGAAGGGGCTCCGTGGTCCGGGCGTCGGGAGAGTGCGTCTGGTCGTCCCATGAGCCGGCCGGGTTGGTGGTGGAGCGTGAAGTCGAAGCGGGATAGGTAGAGCGACCATCGGGCTTGCCGGCGATTGAGGTTCTGGGCCTTGCGGAAGTACTCCAGGTTCTTGTGATCGGTCCAGATCTCCACCGGGTACTCGGCGCCCTCCAAGAAGTGCCGCCACTCCTCCAGCGCACGCACAATCGCGAGCATCTCCTTGTCGTGGATCTCGTAGTTGCGCTGGACGTCGTTAAGGCTTTTGGAGAAGAAGGCGACTGGGTGCCACTTGTCGTCTGAGGGGGACTGCTGCGAGATGACGGCTCCTGTGGCAAAATCGGAGCTGTCAGCCTCTAGGCGATAAGGACGGGAGGAGTCTGGGAGGAGAAGAACCGGCGTAGAGGTAACTGCATCCTTCAAGGCCTGGAACGAAGTGGACTCCTTGTCGCCCCAAGACCATGGTACGTCCTTCTTGGTGAGGTCAAAGAGCGGGCGTGCAACGTGCGAGAAGTCCCGGATAAACCTCCGGTAGAAGTTAGTGAACCCAAGGAACTGCTGCACTTCCTTCTTGTTAGAGGGGGCCGGCCATTCGGCCACGCCTGCCACTTTGACGGGGTCCATCTCGACGTGGTTGTGGGAGATGATCACGCCGAGGTACTCGATGGACTCCATCTCGAATTCGCACTTCTCGGCTCGGAGGTACAACTTGTTTTCGCGGAGGCGCCGGAGGACTTCGTTCACAATACGACGATGGAGGTGAGGATCGGAGTGAGCAATGAGGATGTCGTCCAGGTACACCATGACGTCGCCCGAGAGGATGAGGTCCTGGAGGATGTCATTCATCATGGTCTGGAACGTCGCAGGGGAGTTGGTAAGGCCGAAATACATCACCAGTGGCTCGAAGAGCCCACGGTTGGTCCGAAACGCAGCCTTCCACTCGTCTCCTTCTCGTATCCGTACGTTGTTGAAGCCCCATCGAACATCGAGTTTGGTGAAGAAGCGGGCACCCTTGAGCTTGTTGATCAGGTCGTTGATCAAGGGGAGGGGGTACCGATTCTTCACTGTCATTGCATTCAGTGCCCGGTAATCCTGGACAAACCGTAGGCTGCCATCCTTCTTCTTGACAAAGAAGACGGGGGAGGCCATGGGGGACTTCGAGGGTCGGATTCGGCCGGTGGCCATGCCTTCTTCGATGAAAGCGTCGAGCTGCTTCTGCTCCAAGGGGGAGATAGGGTAGACCTTGCAGTTTGTTGGCTTTGCATCGGGCACCAGTTCGATGGCGTGGTCCCAAGGGCAACGTTCCGGAAGATTGTCGAAGGATTCCTTGCTGAAAACATCCTCGAACTCGCGCGCCCACTCGGGTATGGAATCTCGAGAGGGGGCGGAGTTCTTGGCAAACGCCTCCGCAAGACGCTGGGAGACGGTGCTAGTGGCTCGGATGTCTTCAGAAGGGTTGAAACGGGTGTAGAAGATACGGTCACCGGTTTCCAGACAGTCTTCCTCTTCATCGGAATCTTCTCCGTCGTCTTCCTGGAGCAGTGGCATAGCCTCGTCTTCGCGGTCTTCAATATCAACGACGCAGATGGAGGGGACAGGGCCTTGTCGGGTTGATCAGAGTGCTCGGGCCAAAATCCGGGCTATCCGTCTCTCTTGGCGAGACTCCTCGGTGCAGGTGGAGCAGCCCGATGGGCAGCGGCTCATCTTTACCTCCTGGGTGTCCCAATTGATCTCCGGGTTGTGCTTCCGAAGCCAGGAATAGCCGAGGATCAATTTCTGCTTGCCAAGCCGAGTGACGGCGAGCTGGACACGCTCGCTGTGTCCTTGGTAACGCAGGACCACATCGGCAACTTGTCGGATGGAGCCGGCTTCATTTGGCGTGCCGTCCACGTTGTAGACTGGGATAGGCTGGGAGAGCTGCCGGACCGGAAGTCGGTTTTCGGAGGCGTAGGTGGAGTCGATGAAGTCCGACGTGGCGCCGCAGTCGACCAGTCCGTTGAGGGCGAGCTGGACTGCGTTGTCGGTGGACTGGATCTCTAGGGGGAGGTGCAGGGAGTTGGCGCCGGGGGAGGCTGCGACCACGTAGCGCTGAGGGAGTTTTCGTTCCCACTTTTCCTTACGGACCAGCGGGACAGAGCGAGGGGCAGGGGGTACGTCTATCGTTTCGTTTGCGGGGGAAATGAGGTCACATTCATCGTACAGACATTCAAAACGATTACGTGAGGCGATCGAGGGCGTACTATTCACTCGTCGCGGGGGAGAAAACCCTGCTCCAACTTGTTGGCAATCTCCGCTTCATGCTCTTCTACGGCCGCTGTAGTTGCTACCCGGGCTACTAATTCCGCCAACAGGTCGCTTCCCAGTTGATGGATCACTTCGTCCAGGACGTCGGTGTGCCGGACATCAGCGGGGGTCGGGCAGTCTCGGGCCAGATGTCCTGGGCTGCCGCATCGGAAGCATGTGCGACGGACACTGCTGCGGGCTCGGGTTCGGTCGATCTCCATAGGAATGCCCGGTGGGAGGACTACCGGGGCTGGTCGGGGAGCAGGGGGTGGGGCGACCACCGGAGGAGCCATGGGGCGAGGGCGGGGAGCCGCAGGAGGTGGAGCGCGGGGTGGAGAGAACACCTGTCCTCGTGCAGCTCGGGCAGCCACCTCGGCGTTGTACTGGCGGAATGCGCGGGTACGCCACTCCGAGTAGTTTGTGAGGCTAGGCGGGTTACCGGAGGTCGTGATCGCCTGATTGATTCTGGGGTCCAGACCCGCCCGGTACTTGGTGAC